CAAGCTTCACTACAGCTGAATTGATGGAGAAGATCCAGTCCAGAAGCCACATGACTAAGAAGACACTAGCCTAAAGCTTTGTTACACAAGTCTATGATGAACTAAAATAAGCGCTGGCAAAGGTCTTTTTAAAGCTAGATTAAGACTTTTGTGACCTGAGACCAGGTCCGTGTGCTCTCCGCTGGCTCTTTAACTGTACACTAGCTGCTGTGTCCTTTCAGCACAGCAGCCCCAACAGAGCGACTGACACAAGAGAGCGGGAGGGAAGGACCACGATGGGAGTAAGGGTGAGAGAGAGAGAGTGAGAGAGAGAGATGAGACAAAAAGAGACAGTGCAAAAGGGAGACAGAGTAAGAGGAAAAAAGTGGAAAAAGAAGATTTGATCCATCCTTGAATGGTTTCTACTTGTGTGTTGGTAAGTGAGCAAGTAAGCACTTTCTTCTGAACACCTTACACTGTATAAAAGATGGACGTAGCCACCATGATGACACACACTGGTTTCTGAAGTCCCGTTTAGAAGCTTCAAGACGAACGCTTTCACTGTCTCTGTGCTTTGAAACGAGTGAGTGGTGGATCTGATGGTGAAACCAAAAGCTCATTGGTTAAGCACTTGTCAATCATTAACCAAGTTGTTGGCCTCCTTTTTTGGCATTTAGAATAACCCAAATTTACAAAACTGACCTAATGTTTTATTCAGTAGGACGTGAAATGAGCAACTGAGTGTCGGGAAAGTGTTTCTAGATCTCCTGGCAGAGGAACATCTTTCCTTCTGCTATCACTCTTTGCTAGAATGTCGGTTGAAGGCTTTTCCACACTGACTTCATTTTTCTTCAACCGGATGCTACTTCCATCTTTTACACTATCTATGCTGAATATACATGCAGTGCATCATTGTTTCATGTGCAAAAAGTTTTCAAGGGTTGTAGCAAATTTTAATGACTGTGGAAATCATGCATCCTCCAGATTAAAGAACAAAGGGACCTTTCAACCTGTGAGCTGCACAGATTTCAAAAAAGCACCTGTGATGGTGTGGGGACATTAAGCTGGATAATGAGTCCACTAGGGTCCTCCAAGTGATTAGGTCATCAGACAGTGAGGACAAGGGTTTGTGCCCGCCTGTTTTTTGTGACTGTGGAGACTCGACTATGGAGAATTTACATTGCAATGCACCAACTACACGTGCGTCCCAGCAGCGGACTTCAACGAACTATAACAGAAATGACTACTCGACCAACGGTACTCTAACTGTCCATAATCCATTATAATCAAAGCCTTACTATGTATACACGTGCAGAAGTAACATGTACATATGTGAAGGCACCATTAATGCTGAATGCAAGCTTTTTGCTACCATCTTCATGACAATTTCAGGAAAGGTTATTCCAGCATAACAATGTAAATGTTTTCAACGTGTTGCCGGCAACCAATTCAAAATAATGAACACATGTATGGATTTTAAACAATTAAATAAATAAATAACCAAAGGTCTCCGTTTCAACATGTGATGCATTGTCTTGCACAGCTGTCTCAAAATGAAAATAGAAGGTGTAAACACACAAATGCATCTGTGGTTGCATCAGGAATCCAGCCATGTATCCACTGTATGAAAAAATCTGCCAGATCAAACTGCGGCGCTATCCGCTGTCACGACCCCTTGTAAATAAGAGAGCAGCCAGAAGTAGCTTTTATTGTTTAACATATGTCTTAAAGTAGCATCTGTATTCCAAGTGGTATTTTTAGTTAAATATATGCAAATACATTTTGTGTGTTCTGTTTTTTGTTTTTTTTTTATACACATAACACGTGCATATGCATACATATACAGCTGAATACACACCTGTCTGTAAACATCTATAGCTTGCAAATGTTATACACTCCATACACACATATAATAGCCTTTTTGTGCCTTCATTAGGTTGCTGTTTAAAATCTATTCTCCTCTGCCCTTAATGTTATAAAGGTCAAATAATGCACTTTAACCACGGTGATAAAGTTTATAAAACTGTCAGGAATTGTGACAAACCATGCACTCAAACTATCTGAAGCATCAATATGTTTAAAATTGACTCAAAAACCCTCAAATATCAAAGCCCTTTCTCTATAATTATGAACTAACTTAAAATCATCTTCAATTATAAAGCGTTACAATGTGATGCTGCAACTATCAGTCTGCGTTGCAAATGATCGAATAAGAGCCAAATGATAGAAAGCAGCCGAGCAGTGTTCAGGACTGAACCATCTGCTTTGTGTCTTTATAATAATATAAATTAACTTGTGGTGTAAAAACAAGAGAAAGGTCCATTTTCACTTACTTTTTGCCAGGTTTCCGGGGCTTTGTCCTCTTCTTCCTTGCTTGCATCGCTAGTACTAAAGAGCAGAGAGGAAAGTGGTACAACATAAAGCACAGCTCCAAATATAGCAGCTGTATCTTTATAACACGACACCATGTCAAAAGCCGTTTTCGTGACTTTTTATTCCAGGGAGTGCTGGTGTAACTCGTAGTTCAAACTTATATTAGCAACAAATGAGGCTAGCAGGTTACTCCGCGTACGTAAATAGACAGAAAACCGGCCTCAGGGGTGTGTTGCCTCACATAAAAGAGGCATTTTAAGTTAGCTGCTAATAGCCAACTTGGTGCTTTTCACAGTGAATGTGATATTTCCCCTTTCTCCATTATCATGTGGTCCCCTGGTAAATTTTTATTTAAAGTTTTTGGGACTGTGTGTATCATTTATACTCTAATTCGGATCGACACTTTCCGCATACTTTGTCCACCATCTAATCTAGTATCTGACGGCTATAGCTAGCATACTGTTAACACATACACAGAGAGCGCAGAGCGCATGGTCCACTTATACTTTCTGTCAGTTCTTAACGTTTCTTGTTATAACATTAGTTGTTACTATCGTTTCAGCAGACAACTGGCCTGATAAATGTCGAAAAGAAAAGCGTATCTCCTACAAAAATCCGTATAAAAAGCATTTTGCTTCAGTTAGCTACGTTACCTTTTCTTTCCATGCTGAAAACCAGTCAGGGCATATGCTGCGTTCGAGGACTGTTGGAAAAGTGAAAACTCTAAAGTGCGCCAAAATGACCAAACAGAGCGGATATGCGTTTGTTCCTGGGGGCAGTGTCCGTAGATACCGCCTTCGATCGTATTAAGTATCTTTTGTCAAATAAATTTAGCGCTCAGCACTTCATTTTGGAATTCCTTGCTAAGTTTGATTGTTAGCTTTACTGTTTATTGTTGTTTATTTTTGCACTGAAAAGTCACACTTCTTCCATGAAGAAGAAAAGCTTCCCTGAGGAAATACTCACGAGTATTTTGGATTTTAATCATTACTTGTTCCCTTCATCTTAAAGTTTGGGCTTTTTATAAATCAGGGAGAGCCTACAAAGTGCTGAGAGCATCTGAGAGAAGCATCAAAGCAGCTATCAACCTGAGAGGAGCACTGAGTCAGCACTCTGTTTGCATGAAAAAACATCATTTACTTTTAATGATCTAAAATGCCAAGCTGGGTAACAAACTGAAGTCTTGTACTCCTTTTACTAATAATTATTATTTATTTGCTTCTTTAATACTGGGAAAACATTCAACTGACTTATACTTGGTATTTAACTCTGATGCTTCACAAGTGTCACAGCTTGGGTGACCAGGTGTCCTTTTTATGTGGGAATGAATGCACTGCATTTTTATCCCTTGTCCCACAATTTGACTGATTTTGTAGGCCAGGCAAATTTTTAAATCCTGGCTTTTGCACTGTGGATATGGTGGGAATGCTTTGCTGTTGTACTTAGTAGCAGGTTAGCCCGTCTAATGCCATACTCATTAGGGAAAGTCACTACAAAGTCACAAGCTTTGGAGATTTTGTTAAATGTGATGGAAACTATTTTCTGTAATCGATACAGGGTCTAAAAGTCTAAAAGAATACATAGGGTTCATATATAAATATATATATAAATCAAATATATACATACATACAATTCTCGTCTGTGATCATGATTTATGATAACTGGTAGTTTCTCAATGGACAGATCAGTACTCAGAACAATGGTATAAGAACAGAGTGAAGATCTAAGAAAGAGAACTGTAGATTTACACAAGTTGGAAAGGTCTCTTGTAGCTTTTTCTAAACTATAAGGATTAAGTTAAATAGTTGGATCTAAATCATTTGCAGTCAATGACTACCTGAACTCTAGAATTCTTGAACGTCACCAAATGTGTTTGCTTTTACTGCAGCCACCTTCATTTGCTGCTTTTCTGTGGGTTTCTCTGACTTCAGTTTTGTATTTTTTTTGTAAGTGAAAATCTTTTGTAAATGAAATTCATGCTCTGTTTGGTTGAGACCAGGTAACTGACTTGGCCATTGAAGAATATCACAATCAGCCTTGAAAAGGTCCTAGGTTCCTTTTGCAAGTTGTTTCGGCTCATTATCCCTTTGCACTGTGAAGAACTGTGATCAGTTTTGCAGCATTCATCTGCATCGGCGTGGAGAGCCCTGCACTTCAGAAGTCATCCTGCTACTTCTTTCAGCATCTACATCATAGGGGTCTTGGACTATCGATTGTGTGAGTTGTCAAATGAGCAAAGCACAGCTAACTGTGAACACTGGCATCCTTTAACCTTAAATGCAGATGTGCAGCCGATCCTTGTTCTGTTAAAACGTCTCTGTCATTGTTGTGCCGTGTATCTGTGGAGTGGCTGTTTGGAGGGCAAAAGTCAGATCACTCCTCACATGCACAGCCTAATCTATGTGGCTTTGTTTGTGTTTAGGCGTTTTGTCTTTAAGATAAAGCAGATTTTTTCTGAGAGAGTGTTGCTGAGTCTGAAGTGCACTGGAATCTTGGAGTCTCTCTGAAAAGCCCAGCAGGCTTTCAACCCGTCACACACCAGATGACAGACAAGCTCTGCTCTACTTGTGCTATGCTGCCATCCAATGGTGACATGCTTAAAAAGGAAAAAAAGGCAAGGCAAAAGCTCACCCAATGAATGAATTCTGTTACAGCTTTGAAAAATAGTAGGCTTTATTTTCTAATGGTGGTATTTACAGGTGGCGTGGCCTGCTATCTTGATACATGTGGTCAAAAAAAAACAAAAAAAAAACAACCCAGAAAAACATATTTCAGGCAGACGAAGTGTAACCAAATTTACTACTGACATCGGGATATGGACAAAATAAATATCCTATCTAAATCAATGCAATTGTTTAAAAATGATAAAATATGAGGCTTCGGCATTGCCCTTCAGCATCCAGTGAGTAAACATATGCACTTTCCTGCATACATGTGACACCTCCCCCCCCCTCCTCTAAATTACTCTAACAGGCTTCTGGTGCTGCTTATAAAACAATCATTACAGAATCACAGAATAACATGAAATCTTGATTTAGCACACAAAGAGTAAAATAACACATTAGAAAAATCACTACATTTAAAACAAGCGGCTGAAATCAAACATGACTGATGTCTGATATTGTTTGGGTGCCAAAGGCAGAGCAACTGTGGATACAGCTTGCGTGTCTGACTTTTCAAACGCTTCACATTGGAAGCATTTTGTCATAAAAGTCTTCACACTAAAGAAATAGTTTAGTGGTTTGTTAGTCAATAAATGGTGACAAATATGCCACCATTAAAGGATATGTTTTGGGTTTCTTTTTTAAAAAAAATTGTGATAATTTGTTGGGCCGTGAATCAAGGCGCGCTGTAAACACAACCTCAGCAACGGTAATTTAGCAAACTGAGCAGAATGTATCAAACTGATTCCAAACGATCTCTTGATAACATTGTCGGCTCTTGATATGAAAGCTGTAGCCACTGTGGCTCAAGTGATCTATGAAATTATCGATGACACATTTGGATACTAATACAATAAGCTCTCCATAAATAATACAAACAACCTTAAATTCTGACAAATAATATTCTCTTTTACATCAATATACAAACAATATAAGAAAAGATCATAAATATACGGCGCAAACTGGCGCTCCAAACATTCCATAAACATTAATAGTACTGTTTCATAAATGCAATATGATTAAATTACATTGTCGGCTGACGTTGTGATGGAAAAACATTAAGCCAAAAACTCTGGCTTTAACATGCTGTGGTGAAACTGCAAAGATTGGTGGCTGTTCGCTGAAACATTCATGTGAAACAACACATGTGCGAGAAGACGGAAGAAGCTTACTAAAGTAATAGATGAAAATGAACACGTGGGAAATGCTCTCCTTGGGAGGGGGGGTTGCCATGTGTAAAACTCAATCATTAAGAAATATGAAGCCTTGAATTTTCCATACTGGGCTGAATATTTTACATATTTTGGCGTATCCTATACATATTCTAAATAAATTACACACAGTATCGGTTTATATGCCATTCTAGAACAAACTGTCAATGTGGGCGGCTGACGAGCCTCAGTACTACACGTGTGGTAGCCGTTTTTCCCAGAAAGATTTATGTACAAATACTGTTTCTGTAGTATCTACATAGTTTTATGTACTCGTAGAAATAACAGAATTTAAAATGTGCTAAAAGATACACTTCACACTCAGCATGGTTTAAAACTTTCCAGAATTGTTGTCCTACAGCATTATTTTCAGCCATATTTTTTTTAATAAAATACATAATACATGTTCCGTTATTACAATTTGCCTGGAGATACTGACATGTAATGTTTTCTTTTTTATTTATTTTTTGCTGTGTATGTAGAATAAGGGACAGAATATAAAGAATATATGTCTGAGATAAAAAAATTACTAATGCATAAGGAGAGTTAAAGTCTACCTCAGCACGGTGGGATTCATGTTAAGAAAAACAAAACAGCAGAGCAGGGGACGGTATGAACACGATGTCAAGTTTTTTGTTTTCGTTTCCCTGATAGCGCAACGTCCCCCCCCACATATGAATGACGGCAGGCACTTGAATGTCATCGCTGTGCGCGTGTATGAGGAAAGTGGCGGATAGTCACATGAGACCGATAGTCTTTAGAGAGTGTTTCTTGGAAAACAAATCGTGGAAGAGAGCCGCTTCCTCCTCAAGATTCCATGTCGTCTTCGTCGAAAGATGGTGGCACGAAGCTGATGACCTCGTCGTAGGTTAAGGCTGAGAACAGATAATTGAAATTACTTTCCAATGTACAGAATAAATAACCTTTAAAATCTATTTGGTTTCTAACAACTCACCTTTCCATTCCTCAATTTCCAGCTCACGGCTTTCAAAGCTCTGGTCGTAAGGCTCTGCTTCAGGCTCGTCATCTGGATCGTGATACTGGGCAAAGTAAGTGTGGGCCAGAGCCTCAGATGCTGTGATCCGCTTGTCTGTATCAAGCACCAACATTTTCTCCAGCAAATCCACCGCTAAAAGAAAGAAAGGAGACAGGTGAGTATGAGAAAAACTACAGGTCAGAGCAAAAAGGTCCAGAATGCTAACTTTTCTGTCAATATATGTACTGTGACCGCAGTCGATGCTCATATTAACTATGGGCAGCCTTTCAAATAATGGCATCAGCTTCTGTTTGTGTAAGAAAAAAGGTCAGCCTATACTAAACACTTTGATTCCAGTGATCCCAGCTCCATTAAAATGCTATGCTGGGACCTTAGGAGAGCTTCTATAAACTACTGAATCATCGGTGTGCTTAGTTTTTCACAGCACTGCACAAAGTCTTGTGAAAACCTTCTTTTTCACATGACTGTATGCAGTGAAGACTTTGAAGAAACTGAGTGTGACAGTGACAACTGATTGTTGTCATTGTCACTAGTCGGTACCAGATGTACGGGTCGTTTAATCCAATTGTTTTACATTTTAATTGATACCCAATGCCAATAAAGTCTTTTGTCCTAATGTTATGCAGCCGTCTTCCACCAGATGGAGCACGGTTGCTGAGAAACGCCATAAATCTATTAATCTGGGCCCGATTTTGGGGGTTAACGCTTTTACTGTTAGTTCTTTTAAAGGAGAAAAAATGACATCATGCATACAAAAGAGGGAAATAAGTTTTCCCTGATGGGTGGATGGGCTTTTGATAGGGTGAGGAGTTCAGTCATTCATGATGTCGACCCCTGGGTAAAGGGTTCCGACTGGGCATGTTCTACCGAGAGGAGGCCCAGAGGAGACCCAGAGGAGACCCGGGACCCAGTGGAGATAATACGGCCTGGAAATGCATCAATTTTTCCCCGGACAAGCTGGAGGACTTTTTTTTTTTTTTTTTAAGTGGTTGTCATGAATTTTTTATCTGCATGCGTCATTCATAATGCAGCTTTGCAGAGTTTTTCACATTAAACAGTTTCCAAAACTTGATACCAGAGTCTTTTGGTTTAAGAGTAGTTGGTTAGTCTAATTTTTTTTCCTCATTTAGTCGACTAGAAAATCAGTCACCAGGAACATCCCCAGTCTAAAAGCATTTTATCTAATGCATTTATACAAATACTGTGTGCTGTAAAATGCATCAAGTCAGTGACGGAATAATCCTACAATGGCATCCCCTAGATTATCTGCTGAAGAGCTCTTTATGACTCGAGGTGACAAAAGTTAATGTAGCTTGTTCACGTTACATAACTTGACATTGGTTACGTGAAATAATTTCCTGATGTGGTACGAGATGCACGTGAGAAAGCACCCTTCACTAATCCAACTCGGCTGTCACCTGTATCCATTCTGTGTTGTTTTTTTTTAAACTTGATTGATTTAACATGCATAGCAATCAGGGTTTTTCCTGGCGTGGAGCTGGTCTTTGTGCAGTAACTACACATGCAAGCACAAATGCTTCATGTAAAGCAAAGCAAATGAGACACTGTTATTTCATGCCAGTGCTAATTGTTTTTCCTTTTGCACTAGCTAAAGCTAAAAAAAACCCCCCACTGTGATAAAACAAAATCTTGCCAAAACAAATACAGATGAAACCGCTCCCCCCATTATTATAACTACCACCACTGGAGGGAGCCAGTGAGCCAATAGCAGCCTAACCCAATGGTGTCATTCTGAAAGAGGAACTTACCAAGAGGGTTGGCACCAATAAACACGTCAGCAAAGTTTCTCTTTGGCATCTGGGGAAGTGAGTTGATATAGTTCCTCGCCTGTGAGAAAACAGAAACAAAGAAGTGTACTGTAAAAGCAAACTGCAGAAGATTTCCAAGTAATAAGGCAGCTTTTAAACTGCAAAACGTGCAATATTTCAATAGAACTACAATGCTAAACTGAATTTGCCTGTTGCAAGACAAACTGTACATCCTCCCATTAAGCCATGTTCCAAGCATTTTAACTAACACCCAAATCACATGCATTACATAAACACTGTGGTATTATTTTCATAGTCAAATAGGATAGATGATCAGAACACGCTGGCTGCACTGGCAGAGCACTCTCATAAGCCTTGCTGTGAAAAGCATGACAAGTCAAAGAGGAAAAAGGGAATGTGTGGCGTGAGAGCAGAGGACAGTATGCAGAAAGGAACTGGTAGGATATATTTTAAACATCAAGTCTAGCTGCATTTATCTCTAAACAGTAATGTAGCTATCAGCTGATGGATGACTGCAGCATGGCCCTGATTCCGGCTGTGGGGAAGAGACGGGGCATGTGGGAAGACGAAGGGAACTTGTCTCACCTCGTGGCTGGGCATCCTGCTTATTAGGGAAGCTGGGGGCGTCCCTGTCAGGCGCATTATCTGCTGCAGCTGGTTTATATCTAAACCTTCTGAGTCAAGGGGTATCATAACATGGAGGTCAGCACATCAAAGAGCAGGTGTAGTTAGGAAGGTGGATGTATAGAAAGGATAGGGACTGGGGTGGGAAACACACGGGGTGAGGATGAGGAGGATGTGAAAGAAAGGAAGACAGTTTCTAAACTTTAATATAAAGAAAACCTTCATTATCTGCAACCTATATTCAGATAATCACGAACACTGTGGTCCAGTTTGGCACTAACGTTTTTACTGTCACATTAAAGTTATCAGCGGGGCTCTGAAAAAAGTCATAGTACATGCTGGAAAGAAGCAGAAATCAAAGCACTGTGCTCAAATGGGATAAAAGCAGAGTGTTAAGAGCAAAACAGGTGCAGTTAAGAGGTAGTAGCATTGACACCAGGTCGTAAAATAAAGAGCCAGGGCAACACAAAGGCAACAGGGAGGATGGGCAATGCAAAAGAAAAGGAAAAAACAAATAAATAAAACAAAACTGGATGGGATGGCACTCACAGACTCTGAAGAGATTTTCATCAAGAGCTCAGGCCCTGGCGTTCCGACGAGCATCATTATAAGCTTCAACTGATCAATATCTACCACACTCACATGAAGGAAAACAGAAAGGATGGAGGACGTAACGGGGACAGAGGGGTGAGAGGTACAACTGTCGATGCTGTCGCCTGTAACTGATAAAGGTCCACTTATTCAAAATAAAAGATATCAAGCACCAACTAAAAATCATACAACGTCACACTGATGCATAAATATTCACAGATGAGTTGAATATGACTATATCACTTACTGTGACTGTGTGAAGTATTAAAGTACTTAAAAATGACTGAATGTAGATGCAATAGAAAATATCAAAGCAAATTATAAATGAAAGACCAGAAGCAATCAGAGTTGGAGGTGACATTGGTGGAGCTAACAGGCTACAGTGCTGTAGTTTCTGTGCCTGCTGTGGTGAAAAGGAAAAGCAAAACTTCTACTTCACCCATCACAAACAAAACAGAAAGTCTGGCTGGAATTTTCATCCCTCAGACTCAAGGAGGTTGAACATGGACATTTTCAAAAGCTGCTTTTATTCTGGGCATGCTCTTTCATAAATGTAATTCCTGTTGTTTTCTACCTGAATTCTTGTTAGTGTCTAAAGAAGTCCTTGTTTTTGTTTCTCATCTGTCTGCTGGGTCAGGGATGAGATACTACTCTAGGTGGAGGAGCTCAAGTATCTTGGGGATCTTGCTCACGATTGAGGGAAGACTGGAGGGTGAGTGTCTCTAGTGATACGGATGCATCGACCTGTTGTGAAGAGAAGGCTCATAATAAAAGATAAACTGTTGTTTTATTGATTAACCAAAGGGTGGCTGGCTCGCCCTTAGAGACAGGGTGAGGAGCGGGGCCATTTAAGAGGCTCGGAGTAGAGACGCTGCTCCTTCACATCGAAAGGAGGCAGTTTGGTGATTTGCACATCTGATGCCTCCTGAATCCTTCCTAGGCATACCCTGTGACTTCGTATCCCCCCCAGATGAGCTGGAAGAAATGGCTGCGGTAAGGGTAGTTCCGGTATCTCCGCTCAGACTGCTGACCTCATGACCCGAACCCAGACAGGCGGTAGAAAATGGATAGATGAATATGCATAAAATTAGGTGTGCAACTAGTGATTATAACTCACCGTGTAAATCTTATAAACAGTGATAAAACCATCACAGACTATTGAATCTACAAAAAATTGAGAATCTGGAATAGTGTTTATAATTCTTAGTGCAGACAAGCTGAAACTATAAAATAATTGTCCACAAAGTTTCAGATAATCATTTGATCCATCAACAAAAATAAATGAACTAACTACTGCGTCTCCACTCTGCAAAAATGTCACCAGAAAGTATGCCAAGAATTCTCTAAATCACATCTAACGAGCAGTTTGAAGTGATTTGCTCATGCTACTGTTGACACACTACTACCTAGTACCCAAAATATGAACCACATATAGTTGTAGTATGTCTACTATTTAACATTTTTAATCCCGGTGCTATGGGAGTGCACCTGTACTTACACTGTACAAAGGCTAATGAGATGCATTGTATCCACAATCCCTCCCATTCTACTCATGTGCAGAGATCAGCTTCCATTCAGACAAGTAAAAGGAGACAGACCAGAAAGACTGCTTGCTGTATATTCAAACAAGCACTGTGGGTTGGTAGCTCCACTACATCACAAAGCAGTTTCGACACATTCAAGCACACATACCCCTGCAAGGCATGCAGCAAAGAAGGTGTAGATCGGCTGATTGATTAGTTAGAGCAGGAATTATGAACACGTTATGAAACAGATTTTGATCTTTAACAAAACCACCAACTTGGTGGCGTATGCTACCTTCTATATTTAAAGGTGTGTGTGTGTGTGTGTGTGTGTGTGTGTGTGTGTGTGTGTGTGTGTGTGTGTGTGTGTGTGTGTGTGCGCGCGCGCTAATTTACAGGGTTTTCCGGTATGTTTTTATATCAAATCACATGACAGCTCTGCTGGTGTGTAAGGGTTTTGTGGGAGGGAAACAGGAAGGTAGTGTATCGTGGAAAAGCAGTGGAGATAAAAGTGGGCAGCACTGAGTCATAGACCACAGGGCACTATTAACTCCATATGAGAGTGTGTGTGTGCATATCATGCACATACACGCACACTTTCCTGGCTATTCTGGCATGTAGCTCACTGAATTCAATACTCAGCAATGCTTTTAAGTCAGCCCGACTAGGTAAAATGGTGCTTTTGTCTGTGCTTGCAACAGTGCTGCAGCAATAGATTCTGTGAGAGCCTGGCAGTGAGTGCACTGGACAACAATTCTTATATAACTAGTCTAATACATATTTGTAAACCGTGTGCATATAAGCAGATTGAACTCAACCAGTACCTCCTCCTAATCTAACACAGACCTGCAGGCTGGCTACAATCTGACATTTATTTTAGCAGCAGAGGTGGAAGGATACGGTCTGTGCCAGGGAAGAGCGTCCGTCCTGTAAGTAGTTCAGCCATGATGCAGCCCACCGACCAGATATCCACTATTAAATAAAAAGAAATCATTTCAAACATGCATCTCAACAAATCCTTTAGATATGACACAAATCCAAGCTTTTCAGCATAATGCAGAACAACACAGCTGTACGTGCATGCTGCACATGCATATGCAAATGCAACGATGTAATGGTATCATCCTGTAATCTTCACTACTTGCGGTGAATTCAATGAAGTCTGCCTTGTTCTTTTCAGATTTAAACGCTGCTTCCTGATGAGAGCTGAGACTGCAGTTTTGTGACAGCATCCTGACAATTTGTCAAACTGTGAACGAACTGCGCTGCATTACGTTGTGTTACATGGGCAACGTTTAATTCAATAACTGTCACTGTTAAATAGGAAGAGAATTTCAACAAATTCAATTTTTTTTCACAAACCAAACGTTTCAAAGCTGCTGGGGAAGGCACAGCTCAAAAGCACAGCTAAACAGCTTGCACAGTTTAAGTCCACATTCGTTTATTTGCCCATTTACACCAACACCACTTAATGCTTTGTAAAGAAAGTGTGAAGCAGAACTAAATGGCACTCAACAAGGCAAACGTCTGTTGTGGATGATTTAGGCTGATGAAAAGGCCTCTAAACATCATGTTGAATAAACAAGAAAATTGAAAAGCTTGAAAAGCTGTCCTAGTTTCTCTAAAGTTGTCTCCTTATTTATAGAGAAGAAAAAACTTAGTATCCTTGTATGATCACTGCACACATAACCCCCCACATCATTGTAAACGCATGACTCTTGACTTGTAACAGATGTCCAAAAAGCTATTTCAACACAGTTTTATGAAACTGCACTCAAAACATGATTGAATGTCAGTGTGCGTACCGGTCATGTTGTAGTGCATCCAGTTGAGCATGATCTCCGGGGCGCGGTACCACCGTGTGGCTACGTATCCTGTCATTTCATCATCCGTGTGCCGTGCCAAACCAAAGTCCAGGATCTGAGTGATGCAACGATGCGTAGGCGACATAAAGACAACCAAATGAGACATGACTGAGCACCTTTAGCTCTACAGTAAGTTATATCGCATATGGTGAAGCTTGGATCTGAAACAATCAGTCTCCTCACCTTAAGCTCACAGTCTTCATTCACAGCCAGATTACTGGGCTTCAAATCCTGAGGAGAGAGGGGGAAAAAAAGAGTCCAGATGAGAATTTAGAAACAACAGGGAGACATCCTGCTGGTATTGCTACACATGTCATCATATTGCAAACATTTGTGTGTGTTTTTTTGTTTTTGCACTCATTCCTTCAATTATATTTTTAATCCACAATCAGAAATGTAAAACATTCCAAACCAAATTTTTATTTTATTGTCGTGTTAATCTGATTACTTCAAGCTCTAGTGTATAGATTTAATAAAACACCATCCAGAAAAGCTAAAGTGCCATTAATGGTTCTGTTCAGTTTAACCAGCACTGGACTGTTTTTCTTTGCAGACACTGACACATTCAGTGAGGCCATCACTTACTCTGTGGATGATATCTGCAGAGTGGATGTACTGTAGGGGGGAAAGAACATAAAAATATTTAAATGCAAATGCATCCATCCATATGGAAAGCATGCAGTCACAAAAAACACATCACTTACATTAGTGTGTATTAGCTTATGTCATTTTAAATGTACACCAGCTGAACTCCCAAGCGATAAAACGAGCAGAACATCAACATAACTAGTGTACATTTCTTTAAATAGTAATCATTCAGAAATACCACTAACATCTTCCTTCGTAGCCAATCATCTGCCTCAGCCTCCTCTTCTGTCCATAAATTTTCTCTGAGGTCCATATTCAGTATTCTTCGCCCAGTGTATCCACTTTCCCTCCTCTGCACATGCTCAGACCATCTTAGCCTTGCCTGTCTAGCTTTGTCTCCAAACTGCTCAACTTGAAACTGTCCTTGTGATATGGTCATTATCTCCATCCTGGTCACTCTCAGTTAAAATTGTAACATCTTCAGCTCGGCCTCTCGTCTTTTCGTCAGTGCAACCGTCTAAAAACTGTACAGCAGGTCTTACTACCAGTTTAGAAACCTTCCCTTTCACTCTTGCTGCTATCCTTCTGTCACAGATGACCCATGACACACATCTCTGCCCACTCCACCCTGCCTGCACTCTCTTCTTCTCCTCTCTTGTGCACTGTCTGTTGCATTAGATTGTTGGCCCCAGGTTTTTGAATCTGTCCACCTTCACTAACTCTACTGCCTCTACACATCTTCACTATTACACCTGTCTCTCCCTCACTGACACACACATGTATCCTGTCTTATTTCTACTGAGTTTCATGCCTCTTCTCCAGAGCATACCTCCACCTCTCCATGTTTACTACAGACTACACTATCATCTGCAAACATCACAGTCAGCGGACACCCCTGCTGCACACCTCATCTGCCAATCTGCCCATCACCACTGCAAACACGAAGCAGATCCCTGATCCCCATCTTGAACACTTCTGTCACTCGTACTGCACACCTCACCACTGTCCTCATACATGTTGTGCACCATCATGACTTCCTCATGCAGTACCACAGTTCCTCTCTTAGCACCCTATCATATGCTTTGTCTAGATCCACAAATATAAGCCAAAGTTTCAAAACCGTTCTCTCCTCTGAAATGTAATTACAAGAAACACAATCACAGCAACTCTGACATATCTGCTTGCTCTCAACAAGTGGCGTAAACAAGTGATTGACAAAGATAACACTTTCATGGAACAACAAAATCAAGTGTGTAATAGGCTGTAATCATACATGGTTTGCTCACATTACAAATACTACTAGCCGTAGCTGTATCCAGTTAACTTTTTACAGTCTGTGTTAAGACTCAACTGAGCAGCATTTGCTCTTTCCTGCATTGCAACAATTTGCAAAAGAGGAACTGTTGAATTTTATCCATTCACTTTCAGTTGCCACTGTTTGCAGAAAATTTAAAAAAACAAAAAATAGTCACAAGAGTGGCACAGAAACGTCGCTGCCAACTAGAATTCAGCTGGTCTAAACGCAGAACAATGCAGATGCATCTGTGGTCTAGTGAGCTAGCTTTGCCTGGTTCCACGAGGCACCGCTTTTGCACAGATTGAATGCAAGTCAACTTTTAGGAGCGGCCAGTTTTGAGTTGAAAATGAGGGCCTCGCTGACCTTTAAGCCTCTGAGGATCTGGTATATGAGGAACTGGACGTGGTCATCCGTGAGCTTCTGACACTTCACGATGTTGTTGAGGTCTGCCCCCATTAGGTGTGTCACCAAGTACCTGCAAATCAAACAGCCAATCAGATGTAATCTTATAATTCAGGAAAGTCTCTCTTTGATTTCTGCTGCAGCTTTATTTAGTTTAAACTTTAAAGATTTAATTTTTGCAGATTAGCAGGTCTGTGTAAAGTGCAGCTAACGGTGTTTTTGATAAAAAATCATTCATCATTTTCTGTAAGAATTATTTCTAAATGTGGCAACTTAAAAGTTGGCAAGATTAAAGTGATGATAACAGAAAAACAACACAACAGAAAAAAACCCCACTTTTTTTTCTCAACAGCAAAATATTTAAACAGAAAGTAAACCACTTGAAGGAGGCCAGCAGTGATTGTAGTATATATATATGACCTCTTTAATCACACAGCACTAGTCCAAGGTCGTTGTCAAAGAACGAGGTGTTCGTTAATGGTCACGTGAAAAGATAAGCACCACGTCTTTGGCTAAACTTCACCTCGTGTATGAGATCGCGTTGAGGTTCATCTCACATTTCCACAAATGTGCAACATGCTGATGACGTTACACCATGCAGAGAATTCAAGGACGCTGATTGACTATTCTGCACACATACACTGCCAGATGGCTGTTACCATGGAGACTAGCTGTGATGTTCCTTAGGAGCACGTGTTCACCCTACATTCACCTTGGTACCACTCGCCACATGCTGCTCTCTCATGATGTTAAGAATCCTCGTGCATCTCTAACTAGTTTTGGCTATCGAGGTAATCTTGCGATTATCTGCTGGCACGAACGCTTTCATTGTGTAAAAAGTGAAGCTTATAGACGCTGAGACAGAAAGCAAGAAAATAAACAAACTGAACGAGTGAGAAGGAGAAAAGCAGAGAGCAAAAAAGAAAGAAAGAGTGACTTACACATCGTTAAATTCCTCTAAGCTTGTCGCTGGTGAGAAAACATCTAAAAGGCCGATCACCTGAAGGAAAAACCGAGAGGTCAGAGGTTAGAGACAGTTAGCAACTGGTTGGTGTGTGAAGTTTAATTTAGTTAAATAAGCAAACACCCCACCCTGAATCACCATCTTATTATAAGAGAGGTTTAAGCACTGTAGTGATCTCAGCACCTAGGCTGTCAACGCCATTTTGCCTGACAAAAAAACAAAATAACAGATCATGTTATCCCAGCTGATCACGGTAACTGGGGTCCCAGCCAGGAGACTGGCCAAGAGGAGGTAGGGCCTGGCACAGGGCCTTGGCTGTGCTCTCCGTAAATAGGCCACATAAGGCCACAGACTACTGGAGGGGCCATAGGGGTCCAGTGCAATGTGGATTGCAAATAGGGATGGAAATTGAGAACGGTTCTTGTAGAGAACCGGTTCCAAGTAGTCAAGATCCTTGGAATTGTGTGTCTGCCTGCATAATATCGGTTCTTGCACTCTCACTATGATCAGCTGATTTGTGTGGAGGAAAATTGTGGCGTTGTCTACAGTTTGGACATGAACATTACTTTTATTTTTATTGCACAAAAGGATAAGAGTGCGTTGGGAAAGTGGAGACTGCTCCAGGGCATAAACAACTGCATTATACTGCTAACAAAGCTTTGGCTCTTCGCAAGCACCTGCACAGACATAATGCTAACGCTAAGCTAGCCAAGAACCCAGAGTGATTTTAAAGCTGAGTAAATGTTGACACCCGGCCTGCACCGTGATAAAGTGAGCCGTCACTTGCGGTGAAGCTGATGCTGAAATCAACAGGTAACAAACCAATGAGCAGCCAGACAGCAGCTTCCTTTTCTACCTGTTTGTGTTTCTAAAGTAGAATCGCTTTAAAGTCTCTTTGTGCTGGTTTTCATCTTTGTGTTCATACCTAAATACTAAAGGGAAAGATCACGTGTCCTCATTAGAATAGCTAGCCTGCAGATTTATACTGTTAAATTATAATTATGTATCAGTGTGTTTCAGTTCATTTTACAGAGTAAAATGAAAGTAATGTAATGAGTAGTATAACGAATGTCTTTCTCCTGGGTGTAATTAACGTACTGCATTACTTTTAATAAAAGTCTTCTGTGTGATATGTGTAAAAGCTTTTTTTTACTTTACTTTTTTTGACGAATGACGCAACACCGATCAGAACAAAGAGGGGAAATACCTCTAAGATCCACGTAATTCATTTGCATGAATGTAATGTCTTTGATATGCTGCTTAGAGATGGTCTCAAAGTGAAGCCAATGAGAATCGATAAGAAATCAAATCGCTAAATTCTTATCAATTCCAAACCCTAATAGGAAACAATGCATATTGCACAGTATAGCAATAATAATAATTAAAAAACAAAAAAACAACAATAATAAGCAAAGAATTTGTTGCTGATTTATGTTAAATTTAGTGTTAGTGCTAGGTGCTGTGCTTAAGTTACCTCGTCTCTTCAAAGGAAGTAGTGAACATTATTTGGTTGATGCATTATTTAGGATAATCCACCAAGCTGACAGCACAGGCACCTTTCAGGTAGTTAAAGTTGCATGCAACCGGTTATGCTGGTTCCAACAATGCAAAGTTATTTATAATGGCTTATAAATGCTGGATGCATTATTCCTTTTTTTCCTCTAGCAATACAAAAGCTTTTAGAGATGGGGTGTGTTCTGGAGTCTTTAACCTAGAATACACTGTATTTGCAGGGTCCTTCTCCCCTTTCCACAGTCTCTTGCACAATAAGTTTGTGATTGTATGAAAAAAAAACAAAAAACAACGTAATGTGTGAAAGTGACTAAAATATGGATGCATACAATCACTACAGTTGAATATCTGCAGCTTCACGGTGCATCAAAATAAACTAAAGAAAGAAAAAACAGAAAGTCTTCTTATTTATGTGTCTTTCAGCAGTACGTGTATTGTACACACACTTCAGGCATGCATATACACATGCATGCAGACATACTGGCAGAGAGCAGCCCTGAGTGCTACCCCCACCCCCTGGAGTCAGGGGAACTGAGGTAGATAGGTATTGTAAAAATACTGGAGCGGCCCACCCACACAAGACCTAAATCTGCAGCTGATTGGTGGGCCACGACCACAACAAACAGCCGATTGGTCCACTCAGGCTTTCCAAACTCAAAACTCGGGGAGTCTCCTGGCAACAGCATGAGCAAAACACAGAATCCCTCCCTATGTAAGCCACAGATATGTATTAAAGCACAGATGATTTATGAACAGAAAACCACCGCAACTTGATGTTTTTTTTCTTCTTCCTGTTAGTACAACAAAAAACCTGGCAGCAGCATGTTCACGCCGAGATAAGTGACATTCTTTATCAGAATGACATTTCTACGCGACGTTACCGTCTTGCCTTCAACACAGCAATACAGGCACAGACTCTGTATAATCCTCCATAATCCGTATTCCACGTAAAACCTGTTTTTCAAATGCACTGGTGTGTTTTTCCCCACAGTGCCAGCGCACAGCGCAACACTAATTCCAAAACTGCTCGAGTTGTAACAGAAGTGAAATCAGGGCTTGTGCAAAAAACAGGATCTAAGAAAGAATTTAAAAAAAATACAGTAATGTGTGAATGCTGAGCCAAGCGCGCTCGGACTGAACCACAGCAAGTTCTGGCATGGGCGATGACGTTTCATATGAAACTTTTTTCACCACATAAGGAGACCTGGATTTTTTTTACAGTGATCTGGCGTGTTCTTGTGTACATTTCTTCCAGGTGGCCTTTCATCTAAATACATGTAAGGCAAGCTAAAAGGTGCGCTTCTTTCTCACATTTCCATAAGATTTGAATAACTTCTGCACAGCAGCTTCTAATGTGAGCAAACAGGCACACTCTGAGTAGCGACAATCCCAAATCAGATCTTCCATTTAATGACTTCATAGCTGTCATTTATTAGAAAGACTACCCAACGTGTGTTCTGATAGCTTCTAGAGTTGCGCAACACTTATTGCATGAATTCTGTGAGCGCCTGCAATGAGTTCTTAAAGCTAATTAAACAGTGCAGAATACAGCTAATATTACATGAAACCGTAACTTTACAAGATGGGCTTTCATTTAACTGTGAGATTTGTTGTACTGTTGTTAGGGGGTTTTCCCCTTTAAGACTTTCCATGCTTCTTACAGCTAAAGTTTCTTTTTTTTCCCTCTGTGAGCGTGCCTTCTGAAAATTTTCACTTCACAGCTGCTGCTGGCAGATGATATCTCATAAAGTCCACTTTCATATATTGTGGCAATCTAAATATTTCTACCTCTTCTCACACTGTACACTTTCCTCTTTTCTAGAAATATTTAAACTCATATACAACATTCACCAGGTGGATTTGTTTCCACACAGCACTCAAAAAGCCTTCATCTGCACGCCAGCTTGAGAAATAATTGCTCACATTTCAAAACACATAAAGATCCTGTCTCTCTGGTCAAAAGCGTAACCCCGGATGAAGCAACAGCACAGAAACCTGGAACAATGTTTGCGTTTTGTATGCGGGCAAGTGTCTGCATGTGCAGCATCTACACACACACACACACCAAAGCAGTGATTATAGGCGGGAAACTCACACCAAAGGCAAAAACGTTGAGACACTTAGCAAGATTTCTTTTTAAAGTTGCAGCTACAAAATAAGATTAAAAAAAGACACCACAGTAGGTGATGGGGCTGCAGATGTAAACCCGTTTGGTGACTCATACCTCACCAAGCAACATCAAGCAATAGGCGTTAGACGCTAGCAGGGGAAAACCTCCGTTGTGATGTCCTGTTAGCATACACAGTTATTGCCTGAGGACAGTGTACCCGTGCTTGCTCATGCTGACACATGAAAATACCAGAAGGACTAACACTGGGGTTTAAACATGACAGTTAAACTCTTGTTTTTTGAAAGGTTTTGTAGTCAGTTCCAGGTAGTTGACATGCAGATGCTGTGATGTTAAACTGAGAGTACCTATCCTTTCTTTGTAGGTGGCTCAAAGTCAAAACAATGCAGACGCTAGCAGAAATATCCTACCACATAGACTTATCACCTTATCACTATGTTATAGATGTGTCTTTACATGCTTTCCTTTTTTGAATTCCTGCACGAGCTACATGTTTTTTCAACTCTTTCATCGTCATTTTTCAGCAAGTTAACCCCTCAAGCGCCATCAATCCAGCCTGATCAATCCATCAGGCTTGTTACATCCACCAACTCAAAGATATGGTCAGAAGTCACGAAAGCGACTGATCCTTTTGTAAACCTCATGTGCTTTTCCATGTCCACTTGCATGCCACAATTCCTTTAGACGTTAAATGCACAATAAATGTTGTGTAAATACTGAAAAAGAGGCGAGCAATCACTGCCGCTTGCTTAGAGGTGGAGGTGATGTTTCCCCAGTTGTAGGTGACTTACATTTTCATGCTTCATGTGTTTGAGCAGTCGCAGCTCTCTGTAGGTCCTCTTTGCATGGATGATGGACTGGAAAGGTCTGGACAACTTCTTCACTGCTACCTTCAGGTTCGTCTTCACATCAAACGCCGAGCTGAAAGAAAGGTAACGTATGAAACGGGTGGGCTCTTAACAGAAAAAAGAAAACGCATCGCTACCAACAGCTGTCACATAAAAAACCCAAACATTTCTCAAACTGACAATGAGATTCTTCATTAGACTGCGTAGGTGTCTAACGCAGTAAACAAAGCAAATACTTACATAACACCGAGCGCTTGGTTTCAGTTCTTATTACACTCTACAGTCTAAAGTTGAATAGGGAACACGATTGAACCTGTTCTCGAATATCAGCAGCACGGTGGGCAATGACACAGGAGTGTGAAAATACAGCAGCTAATTACTGAAAAACAATTAACTGCACAACATGCTGGTTGATGATCAGCAGTCTCCAGATAGAGTAAAACATTCATCTATTATAGAGCTGCTGTAAACTGTTGTTTACATGCTACAGAGTGTTCTAACATTAATGTAACCCAGCTGACTGTCTGACTTTGCACAAGATGTCCACAACCACTTGTGACTGACCACTGAAAGTCTGTTATTGCAGCTCTATTTGGAGAATTGGTTCTTTTTCCCCCCAGTCATTCAAAAAAAGCACGGCTGACGTCTTTTTGAAGGCCCAATCTGTCAAAACATTATTAGTAGTATTTTTATCACAGGAAGACAGCAAAACAGATCATTTTATGTAACAGGAACAAAACACACACAAAAAAACACAAAAGAAAAAGGTCTTATAATTAAGTGTGTGGCCTCAATTTCCTCTTTTGTCTACACAACTGTCAACATTCAACAGCTGATTAATTCAAAACGGTTCAATGTGCTGGATATCTCATTTAACTCGAGCAAACTCAAAATTAGCAACTGCCTGGTAAATGTGATGGAGATGTCACAGATCTTTATTTTTCTTCATTTCTGGTAATGGTTAATGTAGACGCCAAAAAGCATAGACACGAAAAAGATGAGTGAAATGAACGTGTTTTACTTATTTACAATAACAAATAGTTGAGCACTGATTGACTCTTAAGATTATTAGACAGACAATGTGAAAGAGAAGCTTGACATTGCTGTATTTCCTTTATCTGTGAGGGAAGGCAACCTACTTACAATTAACCACATTCCTTCCAGGTCAGTCAGATTCGGTACATCGTGCATAGATGATTGCAACATCTTTAAATCTGTGCTCCCATATGTGTGTTCTTTGTTGTTCTTGTTGTTATTTTTACACCGCAGACCAACTAAAACAAAAAGCAGGAACTGCATGGAGTGACACAAGGAAACCACCAGAACTAGACTAGCGGGCCAGTTTTTCTGTTGCCTTTCAGTTTAAAAGGATATGGGAGTCAGTTTCTCTTGAAATGCTTTGCTCAAATTGTCGACCTTTTAACTGCACACACCTATGGCTGAGAGTGCAACGCCACGCACAGGAGAAGTGTTAAAACTGATTCTGTGTGAGTGACAAAGCTATGACCCAGAGTGCAACACATCCATAATAAGAACATTAAGATAAGCACTGTGTTTTTTCCAGTAAAGCTGAGATAATCTCCCACACCCAATGTGCTCCATGTCAGAGGCTTGCAGAACAACTTTAATGTGTCAGCAGTGAGGGAAAACCCATAGTCAGTAAACAGTGTACCAATCCTAAATGGCAAAACAAAGGCACACGCACTCAAACTGCTGCTAATCTGTAGGGCAAACAAGATGGGTCTAAGCATACACTATCCAATTAGTCAGCAGTAAATGGAACTGCCATAAGAAATGGCCATAAAGCGTAGACTAAAAAAGGAGCAACAGCTTCACAGGGAAGTAGAGAGGCAGCACGCTGACTAACAGAAGGCCAGAGTGAGCAAACAGGCAAATATGTGCTGTAGATGAGTCGTCGAGATGTCTGTAGTAACTGTCTTATAATCGTAAGACGTGCACGTGCATCGAGAAAGCTGGAACGCTGCATTTGTGCACTCTTTATCTGAGCACAAACATGTATACATTGGATTTCATATCAGAGCATGACAGGGTTCGTGTACGCCATCAACGTGATCGGCACTGCCAAATCTTACCACACGCAGTATCATTTTAAGTAACGAGCCATAACGTATGATCTGTTCATTATTGGTGAAATAATTGACACGGATTAAACTCAGAATTATAGCAACAGGACACATTACAATTTTTACTCTCTGTGTTGCATTAACACTTTGAGCTTCACCTTAGCGCAGGTCAAACGAGAAATGGTAGTAACACCTCTTTCTGCAAAACAAAAAAGAACCTCATCTAACCTGTATGTTTGTTAGGAACAACAATGCATCATAATCCTCAGTACACAGTCACGAAAGGAAGCAACCGTAAGACGACAGAGTCATGCAGGACACCGTGTCCTGAAAAGCCAGTAAAACAATAGGTGAGAAGCAGAGTGAGTTCTGATGATTGATTCTGAATTTCAGAGCAGCAACGCAGTCAACGCCACACTCCCAATCATCATCGTCATCATCAAGCTTTCCTGTAGCTGGGGACGAATCATCAATTCATGATGAGTGCATTGTGGTGCAGGAAGTGTTTTAATATGCGCACACAATGACATAAGGCACAGCAGTGCTTGCGATAAGGCTTAATTTCCTCTGGGCCACTCAAACATCAATGTTAGACATTAAATGATATAATAAATATGGAAAGTGGGGTGACTTAATGATCTGGTGACGTTACACCATGCTTATCGTGTTTACTTGATCTTTGAAATAATCTCATTAGAGCCATATTCCAGCTAATAATAGCAATCATCATCGTTTAATTGATTTATCAATGGCGTTATTAACACAAACCTGCTCAGTTAACAGACCTACAGATGGGGTCGACTCACCTATGTCTACTCTATCACCTAGTCACACTCACAAATCAAAGTAATTTTAGAAGTTGGAAAACTTAAGTATGTTTTTAAAATCTAAAGAAATTGACTAGCAAGTGTTACCTACAGAGATTTGGCACAACAGGACATTCAGACCATGATTTTGCTTGCTAAAGCTGTCGGAGGGAAAAAAACAAAAACTGCAAAAAGTCGTATTTGTGTTTTAGGGATTCAAACTCTAATCCATAACTTTATACCAAAATGAGGAGGTTTACTTTTCTGACATCACTGATGCATTTGGTCATAGACCTCACATGACCAGCTGCTAAAACCAAAGTCACAAAATTGCTGCTTTTGGGCACAAGCTGAAAAATCATTGCACTTTTCTCTGACGTGACAACCCAAGGAGCCTTGTGCAATTCTTTCTTCATCAGCAAAATATGAAACACTAAATGCTGTCTGACAATGTAAAAAAAAAAAAAATACAAACAAACAAACAAAAAAAAACAGGAGCACATAAAGCCATCATTCCAGGTAAAGAAGTTCTGAAGCTGTAACTTGCAGCTTAATAAATATAAACAGAATCATTTAGGTCGAATTTCAACTTCATGAATAAGAAATGTGTGTAAGCAGAGCCAGAGTTTACCCTGCATTATCAGCTGGAGCTGTGCCGAGTAAACTTTAGGTTCCAAATTTGCCAAAAACAGTTTAGGCCTGTCAATAACGAGTGTTAATCTTAGCATGCTTTGAAAGAGTGCCCATGAAAACGGGAATCTGCGGATCTGAGAGTATGTCTTTGCACAACACTGACATTACAACATACATATGTAAAAAAAAATTAAAAAGCTTTGTGATACTGAGCAGCGTGCTCTTTACTGGGCTGTCTTTTCTTTTTATCTATGGCTAAGAATATTTCTGCCCTGTGTTAAAGTACCTACACACACCCTTAGCTGGGAAGCCTACAAATAAAAGTGCAAGGACACATTGAAATCCCAGCCAGCAGCTATTACTCCACACCAGCCCTGGCTATCCATTCAAGTCTGTCATTCAAAAAATAGTACAGCCAAGATATAAGTAGATATCAGTAGTGTTATTATCTTTGGTGTATGCGAGTGCAAAGTTGATCAGGCAATTCAAATGAAAAATCCACACAGTTAATGCCTGTGGCTGTTTTACTGAGTGGAGAACTCAAGCAACATTATGGTGGAGACAACAAAGACTTGGCCCGCTGAGTGCCTGGGAGCATGTGCCCAGCTAACCAACAGCCGTGACATGTTGGTGGAGGAGCTATGAGGTTATTTATATTTTTCCAGATACCATCTGAAGGGCTTTAGAGGCACACTGCTCTCTGGACCACTCTAGTTGCAGATTTTTTTATTCTTTTTTGTTTTTGGGAAGTTGCATTACGCAAAAGGTTTTCCACAAGAAAAGCTGACAGCTCCTTACAGAAAAAAAGCACAAAAAAAAAAAAAAAACCCCACAGGAATTTTCAAAAACTAGCTGCTTATGGCAGTGCTCACATTTTGCCTTGGAAGTGGTGCATTTTAAATTCGTAACAAGAATAAGCCTCATTCAATGGTCATCTATGAACATATGCCTTGCATTTGGCTTTGTCACTGGTGCTTCCAAACCCAGTTATTGTCTTAAGGACAAAATGAGGTCATCCACCATCCACCACTAAAAACTGCACAAAAAAAACAACCTTTACAGTCAACAGCTGAAGAGATGAAAGTGCGGCCAAAATGAGTTGTAAAGTTGTAATTACGACCCGCTGCTGTCCATGACTTTGTACTGACTAGAAGGCGTCAGGGCTGATGCCACTACCTAACCTCGGGACCGTGAGTCATGCGTGTACCACAGCGGGCGAAAGGATGACATCATTCTAGAGTCATCGACGTCGTCGGATGGGCTCCTGTAGAAAGCGCTCACTGTGCATGAGGGGGGCCTACTTTCCGAAAACCACGTGACGTTCTGGTACTCTGCAGGCTGCACCCAACTAGAAATGCATAATATATGCAATGTGCGGATGTGTAAAGTGCCAGGCGAGCAACACAATACACAATACAGCAACACGGCAATTATTTCAAGTGGAAAACGCGTGCTTCGTGACGTCCCTTAAACTGTGTAATTGTTACAGATGTGATCTGATAAGGAAGAACCCCCCACCACCACCTTTTTTTCCTTTTCTCTTTTTTTTTTAAACCAGATGATGCAAGCATAGACATGTCGCACATGTAGCCTTCTGTTGATAAAATATTTGTTTTTTTCAAAGCAGCAGTTAAACTTCGCCCTGGGGCCATCACTGTGCTTACCGTACGCTACAAGTTACACCAGGCTGTTCAGGCGACACGAGAAAGTAAAGCAACAAAGTCAGAAAAAAACGTGCACAAATCACAAACAATCCCCACCCGCCGAAAAAATGCGAGCTACTGTGTGGAGTGTGCACGGCTGAGCTACCGCGGCCCGAGTATTAGGACGTAAACAAAGGACACAAGTTATATCCCCGTGTCTTCCACGGACACCCTGCGCAGGCTGGTTAAGCGGCCCGGCGACAGATAGCTCTCCCGGGCCACTGTGGTTGGTGGGAAGTCGTTTGGTCGTTGTGCAATCGCGCTGTGTGTGTGCACTAGCTCTCTCGCTCGCTTCTGCTGTGCAACAACAACTTACCACACGGATCCGTAAGCACCGGAACCGACAGGAGATAAGTTCTGGTAGCGCTCCGGGACTTCCCACACGGTTTTGTTGAGCTCCTGTCGGTAAAACGTGGGTCTCTCCTTCTGCGACATTCCTGCGGATTCACCAGCCCCGCAGTGACAAAACAAGCCAGCGGAAACTTCTGCCCTCTCCTCTCCTCCCTGTGCGGCACGACGTGCGGTAGTGATGCTGCTCTGCAATAAAACTCTACACGGAGCCGACCCCGAACAAAGCAAAGAAAACCCAAAACAAAAAACTCCAGCCGCCTTGTCGTGCAAATTTCGGTGCAGTTGCGCAGGTAAAATCCCACTTCTCCGTGCACGCCGGGAGGGCCGTCTGAAGATAACTTCCCCTACGAAGCTCTTTGGGGTCAGGAAGCTCAGTCTGGCTTTCGCTGGATTTTTCGCCCTGTCCCCGCTTTGCTGGGCGCGCGGAAACGTGTACGCGTACGTCTCTTCGCTCCTACGTCAGCCAGTGCGCGCTCACGTAGCGATAAATTTATCTCGCGAGAATTTGGCCGCTATTGGGAAACTAGGGGATATCCCATCCCCACCGTGTACAGGAGCGGGAATCTCCCCCTCCCGTTATGTTAATTGCGACACGTTTCTCCTCTTTAAATGTTTACGTCAGGCAGTGGAACATACAAGTATGAAAATAGTTATCAGATGAGCAAATGAGCTCCGTTTTAACCATCTGAGAGAGATCCTGCTTCAAGTTAAAAACAATAGGAATATCTGATAATATACATGAGCAATATAACACTCACAGGGGACATCTTTAGCTGAGTAGTACCGTTTCCCTGCTACATAGCTCATTTACACTGTGGTACTTTAATAATACTTTATTAATGTGGTATTAATGCCAGACCATTACTTAATTATAGAGTCCTGACTGGTTAAACAAGCACAGCATTTAGGCCCTTTATATAATGCCCCCAAGCAAAACCTGGCTTGCTCTCACTAGCTGCATACCTGATTGCAAATGAACCTTGACACCACCTGTATGTCAATAAGGTGTGACAGCTGCTTGAATTTAATTACACTGGAAAGTCCAAGATTGTTTATTAGCAAATTTGGTATTTCTAAGTGTTCACATGTCACTAAAGGTCTATCACTCATAACAAGAAAAGCAGACACACAAATAATAACATGAATGATGGTCAACTTTTGTTTTAGTGCCCTTTTAACGAACACGCTGACTCACAATCACACTGTCATAACTCAGAATAGACCACGCCAGGATTGGAAATACAAATTCCACCTGTGCTTTCCTTCCTATCACAGTAAATGTATCAGACAACTCTCAAAGGACTCCATGTCCCTCAAAGTACAGAAAGTATGGCATATTCCTACAGATAATAACTTATCTGCTGAAGGTTGCCTTTAATAACAGAGAATGTTCACAGAGAGGGCATTGGTGGCAAAAGACACTGAAAGGCGTGTGACACATGTAAAGAGGTACAAGGTTCACTAGGTGCTGAGCTGGGGGTTAGTGGTCTTACAGAACCAGAATGATCTACAAACTCGGTGCAAACTTTTTACACTAGCCTCAGCACACAGTTATCCCTCATGACACATGCTGAAGGCATCAATGCTGCTGGGGGGATTTTGCTGGGGGGTTTCTGCAGCAGACGTTGGTGGGTAAAAATGAAACCAGCAAAAACACTGCTATATTGAGGGGGGAAAAGTCACCTTACCTCATGAGAAATGACTTCAGATCCCAAATATGACGACAGAGATTTTTAAAAAGAACCGTGCTACTCCACAGGAGTGACAGAAAACAGAGTCAAAAATGCAAATGTTGTCAGGGCAAAACTCAGGTAGGTTGCAAGATGTGCAAAGCTGATGTAAACTACAGTTGTTTCACAATGGAAAACAAAAAGAAAAAAAAACACAAGGACAGGGGTGAATATACTTTATACACTCACTGGTCACTTTATTAGGTAAAACCTAATAGTATTGGGCTGGACCCCCTGTTCTCTTCAGAACTAGTTTAATTTGCAATTGTACAGATTCAGCAAGGTTTTGGAAGAGGCCATTTGAGTACAGTAATTGTCACGTTCAAGAAAATGATTTGAGCTTTGTGACATGGAAGCAGTCATCAGAAGGTGGATACACTGGTCATAAGGATATGGACATCATCAGCAGAAATACACAGGTAGGCTACAGTGTTTAAACAATGCTCATTTGGTATTAAGGAGCCCAAAGTGAACCAAGAAAATATACCCCACCACATTACAACACCAGCAGCCTGGAATACAAGTCCAAGGCAGGATGGATCTTTGCTTATATTTTTAAAATCAAATTCTGACCGTACCATCTGAATAATGCAGCAGGAACTATGATTCCTCATACTAGGCGCCATCTTTCCAATCTTATATTGCCAAACTTATAACATCTGGTGTGGTGTTCTGGTGCTGTAGCTCATCTGCTTCAAGGCTCCATGTATTATCTTCTGTTGGTTGTAATGAGTAGCTTTTTGAGTTATTGTTGACTAGCCACCAGCTCAGTCCAGTCTGGTAATTCTCCTCTGACCTCTGGTATCAACAATTCATGTTCACCCAGAGAACTGCCACTCACTGGTTATTCTTTAGACCGTTTAGAGAGAATAGTCTGAAACATGAGGAAAATCCTAGCAGATCAGAAGTTTATGAAATACTCAGACCAACCCATTTGGCAACATATACCATGCTACTACTTCTCACTCGGATGGCGGGTTTGAACTTCAGCAGTTCACCTTGACATGCTTCAATGCATTAAACTGTTGCCATGAGATTGGCCAACTAGATATGTACATTTAACATTTGAACAGGCATATTTAATAAAGTGGCTAATCCGTGCAGATAAACTTTTTTTTAAAGACAACAATACATAGAAATTGTATGATCAACATTTTACTTAAAATTGCATTGCATTCCCTCCCAAAACAATCTCTTCTTTTGAGAATAGAAATAATGTGACAGAAATGAAGTCGTAACAGCAGTATACATTTAAAATGGCATGAGAAGCACCATCCCTATTTGGCATTGCTTGTAAGTCTTCAAGCAAGACACGGCAAACACATTTTTGCAAAATTTTGAGATATGCCTCATCTGTTGCAGGTACTACTCGTTTCTCCAGAGTTTTGACAGAATTTTAATTACAGTCTAATGTGTGACATTTAAAACATGTTTTCCAGTATACATTTTGATAAAAGTATATACAACATACACTTATTTAAAATCTGTATTTTTCTAACCTAAAAAATGTTAACATGGGAGATCCAAAAAAGTAAATAAAAGTGTACACATGGACATTTTTATATATTAGCTTTTATCTTTCCCTCCACCACTTACAGAAGAAACAAACAAACAAAACAAAAAAAAGAGTTGCTGGGCATGAGCAGAGTTGATCATTTTCACTTTGATCACATGTAACCTCTAGCAAATAACTAGCGTTATGTTTATTTCCAAATATACACAGGTAGGCTATTTTTAAGTTGTATACAGGTGTAAGGTATAATGCACACACAGCCCTTCAATCTTCTGCATCCTTCAGTATTAATTATTACGTGGGGTGGATGGAGACGTCAGACAGTACTACCCAACAACAGAATGTTACCATGTGACCCAGCACTCTCCCTCCACTGAAATAACTGTGGAGTACTTCACATCTGTAGTGCATACATAATATTAAGGTAGAAGCTGTGTACCCAGTCATCAGAAGGGGGCAGCACTGACTTCACTTTCACATGGGTCCAAAGGTCCAGCGGGGGTTCATCAGTCATAGAATCCAAAAGGTGTCCCAACAACAAGGATTAAAACGTGACCGCAGAGATGAGTCCATCCCCTCTCTGAAAAGTTTGTCCTTTCCCATCTAGCCTCACCATCATTTTAAGAAGACAATATAGAAGGCCATGGCCAGGCAAGATACTGCCACAGCGATGTGAAGCCTTGTCCCAATTACTGCAGCTGAGAACGAGATAAGATGAGTTAAAACAAGAAGAAAGCATCAGACATAAAGTCAGATCTTGAGCTGAAATATCAGTGGATATTGTGACATACTACATTATCTGGAAATTCAGTCATTTTTGCTTAATCTGACAATATAAGTGCGTGAGAAATGAAGGTATTACATCAAACTGGAAAAGTTCTTCCAGTCAAATAGTACAATAAAGCTGGCCTTGCATTTATTTCCCTTTGTTTATAATGACATAATAAAACTGTAAATGCCAAACAGCTGAACTGTTATTACCTTTACTAACAAAACCCTAAACTACAGGCAGTTTTTGTCCGCTTTGCAGCGCTTGTGTGTTCATGTACGAATTTGTTATTATTCTTTTTTTTTAAATCTCCATTATATCTCTGTATATAGTGAGAAGGCAAAAATGGCTGTACATTAATATCAAACATATAAGTAATAAAAACACATTTTTCATTGTTGTTCTTTATAAGCTACACATTCATTGTATAAGACAAAGTAATCAATTGCATGCACTATTAATGTAATTCTTTGAGATATACTTATTAACAGATATGTATGACAATATTCCAATGTGCTACTAGGAGGACATGCATACATACACTATGATCATTATAGTAAGAAGATGAGGAGTTCTGAGAAAGAGGGACCAGTATTTGTGATCTATTTATTATCAACCAACCTTGCGTGTTCTCATTGTTTAATTTAAATAATATATGTACAAGAGTGCAAGACAAAAAAGAAAGCAGCAGGCTGCTAATATTAAGCATATAAAAAAAGAAAAGGGGGAAGTCATTGTGTCTGAATCATACTACATCATACTTACCTTTGTAGAACACACCCCACACTCCTTTTTTCTCTGACAGCAGCCAGTTGTTGAGGCGAGGCACCTTTTTGAGGTATGCACAAGTGCAGATAAAAAGCAGCCCGAAGACAAGGATGCCATCGAATGAATAAACTATGGAAAGGGAAAAGTGGCATTGCATGCACTTATTATATTAGAGAATCTAAGAGCACAGAGTAACAATCACTCACTTCTGTTCAGATACAACCAAATACACTCTTAAATGCAGCACAGCCTCCAAAGAGGTTTGCTTTATAAGGAAGCAAATATTGACATTGATCAACCACTAACTCCAAGCGTCATATTAATATAGTATGCAAAACAAAACTATGGATGTCACCGTCTGATTTCCTCTCTGTAGTTACCATTGAGACAAATATTTATGCCAGTGGTGAAGCATACATGTATATTTTGCCTAACAGTGAATTTTTTTCCTTTGACCAAACTGTGCTGTTGCTGCTTGTTGTCTACCTGGCTATCCTGAATTTTTTTGTAGCATTAGCCACAGCCACACACAAGTCAAAGCCTGATAACATAGATACGTGTAACCTTACAAAAAAATAGAAGCTAGGAAGAGGTTCATACTAAACACAGCAGGCTTTGTGACAGTACTGTTATTTAATAGAAAGACAAGTACTATAGCACTGTAATATGTGACGAGTTTGTTTTGGTGCTAACAGAGTGGCAGTGCTGCCCAGGGCCACGTCTACAACTAGCCTAGCCTCAACTAGCCTCAATTCCAAGAAGTAGCTTAACTTCATGTCCCGCTTGTTGTCGACAAGTTCTAGCTAGTTGGAAAACACGGAAAACCTACCATTTGTCATATTCGCAGCTTTCTCTTTGACGGTGTTATATGACGGTTTGTTCCTCTAAACTAGCATCCCATCCTAAATTTTAAAGTAGAGATATTATGCAGTCACTCGGCTGACATTTCCGTTTCCCTGACTTAAAATCTTCTTCTACGCTTCCCACTGTTGCTGTTCAGTTAGCGTTACTGCCACCTACTGGCATATTTTATTAAGAGCTCAAATTTACAGTTTTAAACGCCCCTTTAAACTTGTAATAAATTAGGATGTAACTAGAAGTTTTTACTTGTGGAAATCGGATTTATATTTTTCAAAATATGAAATGAAAAATTACAATTTCACTCACCCATCAAGTTCGACTTCTTAAAATTAGATTTAGATATCCCCAATTGAATTTCTTGATTGATATCTGTAATGCAAAGAGAAACATCTACAACACTGCAACTACTTTCAAATTGAGCTTTTAAATTATGATTTCATTTTTTAAGGGAAAACCCCTATCCAAAGCTGACCCTATGTGAAAAAGTAATTGCTCACCATTGTTAAATTGTGAATTAACTGTGATTACCCATATGTATTGGAAAGGTGAGTTCAGTTTCACAAGCCACACACAGGCCTGATTATTGGCAAACCTGCTGAATCAATAAATCAGTTAAACAGATTCACATCATGCCCTGATCTCAAGAAAAGATGAAACTTTCAAGGACTTTGAAAACAAAGTCATTGACAGTCAATCTGGACAATCAATTTCTAAGGCTTTGAAACTCCACCAAACCATGCTGAGAGCTGTGTTGCAATATGAAATGTGGCTGGTCTATTAAAATTACTCCAAGACCACATCACATCAACACCTTGTGCAGAAAGTCATAAAATAATCCAGAACAACATTGAAGAACTACAGGGTTCATGATTCAAGGTCAGAGTTCATGATTCAACAGTAAGAACGACACTGTGCAAAAATATCAACCATGTAAGAACAAAGGTCTTGAGGATCCCCAAGACTCTAGAAAAATATTCTGTGGCCTGGTGAGAGTTTGGGTCCTGTATTTTGTATTTACTTGGGTGACCTTTGTCTAATATTAAAATTTCATGTGCTTACCGAGTACCTCTCTAGTTCTTTGATGTAGGGATAAAATCACTTAAATAATATTCTACAAACTTTCTCATAAACTCTTCTTAATGCAGCACAACCAAGGCAACAAAGCTGAGAGATATTTGTAAACATGATAAGCTCTAACCTTGTGCTTCTACAGAGAGGTAATAAATTATTATAGCATTAGAAAAATGCACCAGTAAAAAAACAATCAATACAGCACAAGGCAGGTTTTTATTGGTTGTTTCTTGTGGCCAGCACACTGCTCCCCGTAGGGAAATAATATGGGTGGAATGTCGAGGCACAATGAACAAGCTGGAGAAAAAGGCTGACTTTGCTGCAGCTGTAAACCTGGACGCACCTTATGCAGCAGCAGAGGGAAGGATGAGGATTAAAGTGAGCTTCCACCCACACTACAGTGAGCTGACATCATTTGCCCCCGTCAAATAAATCAATTACAAGAAAGCTTCAGTCAGATTTAGGCAGAGTGGCATCACAGTGCTTAACACATGATGTGAAAACCTGAACAAAAATAAAAAATTATGTATATATGTAAAATACATAACACAAAACATTAAAAAACATTCTTAGTTGAGAAATAGAGGTGCAAGTCAGCCTCTGAAGCACATAATGTGTGGCTTTACTGATGAGAAAACCATGAGTCCAGACTCGGTGATGTTTGAATATCCTAGACATGGAAAAGACAGAAATGTTGTCACGGTGACAACATATAGACACCTATAAAAACACACTTGTGTTGCACAGATGGGTAATCCCTACATTTCTACACTCACTGGCTCATTGTGTCAGTCTTAGATTAGCCTGTTTTTTACTTTAATTAAATGTCTTATGCTTATATATTTAATAATATATTTAATGAGGGTAGGGTAAAAGTATGCACCTTAACAACAAAGAAAAATGCATTATAGACTCATAGGTTTAACAATTTAATGTGAGCGTTGAATATTCCCATCACTGTGTGTAATAACAGAGCAAAAGACACAAAAAGCCATCTTTATTTTGCTGGCAGTGTTTTTTCATTATCGCTATAATGAATTGCCCTAATCCCTGCATATGCTGCTGCTCTGAGACAACAGAAGTTTCTCCCCTGAAGGAAACAAAGAGTCATAAGACAGTTAATGAGATTTGATAGCGTGGCACCTGTTTGATCATCTGCGCTCCGGCTGCAGAGCACGGGGCACCCCGCTCTCAAAAACAAAGCCGTCCTCCTCCTCCGGTGCATTCGTCTCTGAGGAACACAGCTCAGCAGTCTCTCCTTTGCATCTGTTCATCAATGCTTCTCCACCCGACCACCCAGGTAAGGCGGTTTCATTGATCGCTTTTGATTAGTGAGTTCTTATTAAATGGAAAACCATATAAGGAACAACTGAATTAATTATTTGGATTATAGATAAAGATATCTATCAAAAGTAAGTGCATGTGAGTTACCACCCTGGTGTATGGAAGCATATTTCTGCCAAATAAATAAATAAAATAAAATATATAGAGATATAAAATAATTATATCTATTAGTTTTTCTTATTTTGAGTTAGGAGTCACAAAATTCACAAAATTTCAATTTATTAAATCGACTTACTTAAATTTTGAGAAACCTAACTCAAAAAATTTAGATAGTTAAGATTTTCACTAATGGATGGAAAATTATGTTTGTTTATTTGGCAGAAGCAAGCATCAATACTAACCAGTTACTTCTTTACTTCTTCATAATTCATTTGGCAGCTGCATAGTTCATGTAGCTAAACGTGATCATTTAAATTTGGCAACATCTTTGTAGGGTCATTACTTTACAATAGAAAGTGCCTGGAGGCGACTGTTGTTGTCAGTCGGCCCTGTGTGAAGAAAATTGAATCCAACTGAAGCGAACTCGAGTTCAGGTTCAGGGTTTGAAATTAAAATGTATTATTTATCAGTTATACATGTCTGCTGCCTGATGAACACTGGTTTGTAAATTATTCTACAGTTAAGCGGCGTAGGATCAAAGAAGTGTGAACTTCATCCTACTCCTTTTTGATCATGTAAATTTTGTGAAATATAAAGTTAGTCATGGCATCATAATGTTTTTTTCTTTTAATTTTTTTTTATTTATTTACGTGTTTGAAATTAAATACTGAATCTATCAATTATGTTTATATTTAAATGCCATATTATACAATTTATATGTATTTAAGAGTTTTTGGGGGGATTGTTTTCCCTTTAACAGGAAGGGTGTCGAGCTTTTGCATTCTTAGCTAAAAAAGTGTCACGCAACTAGATTTTACAGTTTAGATTGCATAATAATAATCATCATAAATTTAGGCTTCAATTGATTCACACTAGAGAAATGTATTTACCTTTTTGGTGATTTAAGAATATTTAATAACCAGTCTGACTTTATTTTATCAAATGTTTAAATATGCTCATATGCACATTTTTACATTTTGTTTTGTTTGTGTTGCACTTCATAATTCACATAATTACCCCTGGTTTTCATTCAGGTACCACATAAAATGGGCATCCACAATAAAAGAGGTAAGATTAAAGCTTGATGAAAGTGAAGCTCATGGAGTTTGAGTGAATCTAAAGAAACAAACGAGCTTCACTTCACGTGATAGAAACTAGTTTTAGTTTACTTCATGAATATCTTGCTGTAAACATAGGCTGTAGTATTGCGTACACTGAATAAATTGCACTGGCTTGTTATCATGTGTATCAGGCAGACGTCAGTGCTGGATGGTCCCATCTCACCAGGTGACTGAAAATCAACAACAGGAGGACAGTGACCTCATTAAACCCAGAAAGCTGCCAAATCCCGTCCTGGCTTCCCACCAACACAGAGCTCTCCATCAAGAGCTGCTATTCTGCCACAGACGGTGAGAAAACACTGACACAGGTAGCAGGCGCTGTTCACAAATGTTACTCCGCATTGTCTACTTGAGAGTTCTGCACTGAATTGTTCTTCATGTTATAGTACCTTTACTAAAAACACTCTGAGTTGCAGTATTTTATTAGTGTTCAAACATTTGTCCGTTGGAGAATCCTCTTATTTAACCTTTTTCCCGCTGGCTGGAGTTGTGGTAGCTGTGGATTAGCAGTATGCTTAGGTGGCGTTTAATGTGGATCAAGTCAAAAGTTAAATGCCCATTTGACCCCTGCTGAGGGATCAGCACTGAGCACTGAGTGTTCTCGCTCTCAAGTCTGAGAAAGAACAAAATAATCAATGTAACACAATCAACGACATTTGTGGTGCTTAAACAAGATTTCTATTAAACTTTCATTTATTTCTTTATTTCACACTTGGTTCAATAGTTTCAACAGTTTTGTCCTTTCATACACACAAACCATGCTTTCCCTTGATATAACATTGCAACCATGCGTGAAAAGGAGCAGGTAGAAGAAAATAAAAGTTTTATTAACTATAGACACCCATCTACTGTATATACCTACACAAAACAAAGGATTTGTTGCATTAATGGTAACCTTTCTGCACTTACTCATAAGAACCACATCAGGAATTCAATGTTATGGTCTTCTTGTTTGTCTTAATCTAGAGACACGTCTTCTATCAGTTTTTTTATTGTGCCCTCAGAGGTGTACTGCCAAGAAAAAAGCCAGAGCTGCTGTGTGTCCTCGAACAAAAACAGAGACAGAAGAAAAACCAGGAGCTGGCTCTCCACCCTCCCTCTGACTTGGAGGTGAAGCTACGTATACGGCAGCAGAGAATGCAATTTGTAAGTACTCTGATTTTCTAAAAAAAGAAAAAAAAAGATGCAGGGAATTCTACAATAATGCGTATACTTTTTGAATATTTGCATGCCGACTAAAATTGAATCGTTAGAGAGGACATCCAACAACACATATCTGTCTTGCAGTACGAGCTGGAGGAGAAGAAGAGGAGCGAAGGTCTGAAGAATGTGCCAGAATTTATTCGTGTGAGACAAACACTGAAGCACATCGCAAATCCTTCCCTGTGACGATTCGAGAAAATCTGCACATACCGTCAACGTGAAGTCCAGACAGATTCTTGTTGATACTGTAAATTGAAAGGAACACGATCCTTGAATGAGAACTGTTTGTATTTCAGAAGTGTTCAAGTGTGCCGACTCCTATAAACTGCAGTAGTTATGAGTTGCAAAAAGGCTCCTCCAAGCTTCACAGTGGGGAAAAAAAAAAAAAAAAAAAAAAATCAATTTTGCTACATTTTACATTTGAGCGGGAAAAAAATCTTTTAAAATGAATGCCATGGGTAAAGATTTCAGCCAATAGAACCACTGCTGCCAGGTAAAGGACCACAGCCACATTGATCCTTTTGTTATGATGCAAATGCCGCGTTTTGCTTACCTTGGGCAGACTTCATGTGGTTACATGCGGCTCAGGTTACTCTGACATATACCACCACCTAACTTTGCATTGTTGCAGACTGAGCACACAGTCTCTTTGCTTGGCACACGCTGACACAGCAGGATGGCGAGATGACGAGGCCCGCCACAGTATAAGAACTTCTAAGGACCAGTTGAAGGACGACAACAAAAAGCCCAAGATGTTGCCCCAGGCTCCAAAATCCCCAGATCCCAATTTAACTGAGCATCCTGGACATGTGTCCTATATGCTGCTGCCACACGACCTTCCCAGAGGTCCCGTGTCTCTATAACAACAGATCAACTTTAGTAGCAAGAGAGATGGCCGTGGCGTGTTGGCACATCAGTTTTTCAGTATTAATAAAGCAGCATTATATTCTTAAATCTTAGCAGGACCGGCCTTTTGTAGAGTTCTCCATTATGAATGCATTTGGCTGTAATGTGCCCCTTTAAACAACTGATGTAAAAGATTTACATGACAAGAATAATTTATTTCTTTTTTTAATAAAACATCCAGGGGCAGCTGACCATTTACATATTTATATATATATATATAAAAAAAAGTGACAAACACTTGAATTGCATTGAATTAAAATCTGCTACTGACAACACTGAGAGAGAGTCATTATTCACAACAATGTAACAGCAGTCATAAAAAAAAGGAAAAAAAAAAGAGCTTAAATGTTGCCCTTTGTGCAGCAGTCTTCATTTTTAAGCGCTCCAATGTATCTTACCCCTTTGATCAAAGCTGCTGTACAGATTTCACAAGTTTTGGGAAACAGCCACTGACATCACAAAGGTGGGTTTCCGTTCGGGAGGCTAACATCAGAGAAAACAGACAACGGATAAATAACGATTGAGAGAAATTAAAACAAGTCTTCATGCTTAAAAAAAGTGACTCAGTGCCAGCCGGTAGTCGACTCCCGCATCCGTGTTGTGTTGCAAACAAAACATTCAGATTTATGCCTCTGTACAGTAAAATATCCACGCCTGGACTTTAGTGCTCTATCAGAAATGTAAGTACCATAACGGAATTCTCAAACAGGTTCCAACATGAGGAAAAAAAAAGAAGTCCTGCCAAATCCCACATGTTCGCCCATTTTCTCTGAGACACGCAAAACCTTGAGCGCCATCGATCGTAAACGAAAAGTCAATCTATGACTTTTGCAAATTTTCTCAAACATATTTTAAATACAAACTGTATCCATGAGCAGCGACCACACCCACTGCAAGCCCGTCCAAACTCAATACCAGTGTGTCATGTTTGCCGCAGAATAAAATAACAAAAGAAAAAAGGTAGACATCAACAGAATCAACAGAAGGGTAACGATCTCCTGTCTGGGTTTTTCTTGTACTAGCTACTATACTGTAATAACTTTAAAGCATATCTCATATATGTAGAAAAAGGTCCAACAGGTTAAGAGAACATACAGACACTGAAAAGAAGTAGGCAGAAGGTGATAAGGTTAAGCACTTACAGTAAAACCGAAGGGGCTCAACAACGAAGCAGGACTGAAGATGGCTTCTGTTAAAATACTCGAGGAGCGATATCTCTTGACGGTTCACGCCAAGCCGTAAAACTGATACCCGACATCGTACTTCAAGCTGTGGCTCTGATTTAAATGGGTGATTTTAGCTCTATAACCACATAAAAGCGAGTATTAATGTGTGGAGCCCCCAAAAGAGTGTTTGAAACACAGCTTTTGATTTGTGAAAAGGTGAATCTCTTCGTTCATGGCTTTTTCTCCATCCAAACCCTCACAACTACAGCTATAACATGTCAAACCCACACAAAAGGGAAATGAAACTAATTGTAGGTTTAGAGCTCCTAAAGCTGCTTTAACATGAGCAAACAAAAATAAAATCAAAAAACAGTGAATTGCACCCTTTTTGTGTTTTCACAAATGCTACAATTTGTGTGTCTTGTATCAGTTAGGTGACTTTAAACGGTCTAACAATGGAGACTTGGTGGAAAGGAAAAATCCGATAACATTACTGACTTTGACGACATGACTATAGATATAAAGCGAACTTCAGCCTTTTAGAAAACAATGATTACGGGATCCCATCCTTTCTTTGGCAGCACTGTGAGGGTGGCACACTCCAGTCATACACGTAGGACAGACGCAGCTTGACTTCCTCCTTGCAGAGCTTGCCATCGCGCTGCAGAGTCTGATGTTTTTCCAACATGTCCTCCAAGCTCTGCTTATGCGTCACCAGGTATTTGTTGTTGCAGCCACGTGATTTGTACTCTGTGTCAAAGCGTGGGTCATGTGTCCGCCGGATGTCTACCGGTGCCAGCCACGCACCCAACGACACGTCCTCGCTCTGCCACGTCTTGAAGTATCTTGCATTAAGACGCACATAATGCACCAGATCGGCCGAGAGCACGTAGCCGCCGCCCAGCGCGTAGGGGAGGTAGTAATCGCACAGCTCCCACGAGCTTTCGCGCCACTTCCCCGCCGATTTCACCCGGCCTCTGCCTGAGAAGAAGCCCCAGTACAACCGGTTGGGCTCCTTCCCCTTCAGCTCCTCTTTGAGGAGGTCCAAGCGAGCGAATGTGTCGTCATCTGCTTTCAGGACAAACGTGAACTCCACGTTCTGGTCCAGCCAGGTGTACATGTGCAGCAGTTTGAGGGTCAGGTTCTCGTAAGAGTCTCGCAGGTCGGGCAGTAAGAGTAAGTCCTTGTGCCGCCCTTGCTCCGTGTTAAGATTCTGAAGGTCCTCACTGGAAAGGCCCTGTGTTCCTACTACAAACATGGCCAGAACATCAGAGTCCCGCTTGGCAAGCCAGGTGCTGCGGATAATACTACGTCGCTCTGTGTACTTCGGTCCTGTTGTGATGAGGACCACGAGAAATGCTGACAAGTCTTTGGATGAGGAGGGAGGATTCTGTTGCGCTGGGCGGGACTGAAAACCGATGGCTTGGGGGGCTCTGCCAGGAGGATCGGGGTGACCCTGTTTTAGGGTTTCTGATGTGCATTTTGCTAAGAAGACCAGAACTACAGCAAAGCTGCAAACTGTGCCAATGACCAGCGCTGTCTTGTGGCGGCACACCAGACGAAACAGATTCATGATGCGGACTCTGGGGTGAAAAAACAAAAGAGGCAAAATATATCAGCTTTATCATCACGAATTATAACTGTCAAACATAAATATGAACAAGTATGGTTAAAGGGGAATGAGCAAAGAGCTTTTGCATCTTTCTGTTTTCACGTAGATGCTTTAGCAAAGTAACCTCAGCTCTTTCACTCACCCATGATTCTGCAGCACCAACTGGTTTCTAAGCTTAGTAGCTTAACCGTACACACACACACACACACACACACACACACACACACACACACACACACACACACACACACACACACACACAGTAACCAGTTATGAACTGAATTGAAGAGAATTTGTTAGTTACCTTAGCAAATGAAAGCGTGTGCCTGTGGTGTGAACGGTACAGCTGGAGCGGACCACTGATAGCAGCTTTGCAGAGCTAGCGTTAGCTACCGAGACCAGACCATCTGCGCACTTTGTAAGCTCACTGCGCGGTATGCAAACGCAGAAAGACAGCTCATATTGGAAGGAAGGATGGAAACTTGGTCTTTTCACTGGGTCAGTCTGGGTTACAATAAGCAGCCTCTGTCATTCACCGTTCAGAGATCCGCACACAAGGTATCAATGCAATCACTGTCTACCTCCAAGTAGTGTCACTTACGGGTCTTCGTGACGCAGGGGAAACGGAAGTGAACCTCCGCCCCCCAAAATAGAGGTTTTAAAATGGCGAAAAGATAGGTTTATATTGACAAAGATTTAATTTAATTTTTATTCTTAAAAATGAGCATAAGCAAATAGACAAACACCACAACTCAATGTTGCAGGGTTTTTTTTTGCCAAAAACGGATAAAACACAATGATTACAGTAATATAAAACAACACAAAAAAGAACAACAAAAAAAGAGCTGCGAGATCTAATTTTGCCACTTGTGATAATAAAGAAAAAATCTAAAATTAAAGCAGACTGAAGAAAATTGAGTGCTGTGAACAGCTGTAAACTAGAGCATGCGCAGTAGTCATTCTCCAGCTTGGAGCCCAGACCGGATGTTGTTATGTTTACTTCAAAATATAAGCATGCAAGTCCTTTGGCAAATTAAAGATAATCACAAACCTCAAATACTAAGGCTGTCATTATTGGGTCTGTGTGAGGTAGAGCTCGGGAGGATACCAGGAGCTATCAGTGATGGGTGACCTGACCACTCAGTTATTAACCACTGAACAATGCAGCTTTAAAAGACTGCTGCTAGTTGTTCCTTCATCTACACTGCTGTGAAAAGTATTTCATGTTTATACGTACACTATTCAGACCATATATATATATAGTATTAGACAAAGATTACCCGAGTACATACAAAATACAGTTTTGAATGATAATTTCAAAGGAAAAAGGTTGTCCAAACCCTGTGTGAAAACGTAATTACCCCCTAAACTTAATAACTGTTTGTGTCACCCTTCGCAGCAAGAACTGCAGTCATGAGTCTGTGATAACCAGCAATAAGTCTTTCACATCACTGTGGAGGAATTTTCTCCCACGCTTCTTTGCAGAAGTGTTTTAATTCAGCCACATTGGAGGGTTTGAGCATGAACGGCCTGTTTAAGGTCATGTCAAAACATCTCAAAAGGATTTATGTGAGGGCTTTAACTAGGCCATGCCATTTTTGCCCAGTCTCTTTCTTATTGTTGAATCATGAACTCTGGCCTTGACTGAGACAAGTGAGGTCTGCACTAAGCTATTTAAATAAAAATCTATCATCGGCAGTCATCTTATCATAAGTTAA